TTCCCACGACAGCCGGTTCTACGTACCGGAATGACTCGGGTTTTACCCGACCAAGGGCTGTTGTTTCGGCGATCTAACCCCGTTTAGGTCGGCGAAGTATCTCAGAAGTTGCTCGCCCATAGGGCTACATTCGCTACGTATTCTTCTACTCAGGGCTAGCATCGAGTCCAACCCAGGGCCAGAAATCTACACCTGCTGTGTATGCCAGAGACGACTACACCATAACTCCACCTCAGTCAAGTGTAATGCCTGCGAGGGGTGGAGTCACCTTAGAGTCTGCTCAGGGCTACGGACACATCGGCAGTGCTGCTCAAACAGAGCAGCCACCACGGCTAACCTCAGTCCACCTGAGCAGCCTCATAGTCACCACAGCACAACAACATAACAGCACCACAGACCATACCACAGCCACGACAGACCACAGAACACACATAACCGCACCCATACCCACACGCCGCCGCCAACAACTCCTGGTTCCTCCTACAATCTGCACGGTATGTCAGACCAGGATATTCCGTAATGTGACATCAGTCAAGTGCAACACCTGCCTTGGCTGGTGCCATTTTAGGGCATGCTCAGGTCTGCGCACCACGCGAGATTGGACGAGGAACTTCGAGGGCCCGTGTTGCGCTGCTTGGTCGCAGACCTCAACTGCGACGCCTCCCGCCTCCACCACAGGCCGGCAACCACATCAGCAGCGCACACAGCCAACGGCGTCACGACCACACACATCCCTCACACCCCGCATCACCACACGTCTCCCGAACCACATGAAGCTCCTTCAATTTAACTGTAACGGGCTTCAGAGTAAGATCGCGGAGATAACCGTCTTCATGGGAAGGCATGGCATATTGATAGCTGCAGTCCAAGAGACGAAGTTGCACAGCAATTCAACACTGTTGAATTGTGCCGGGTACAACGTGCACCGTCGAGATCGCGAGCGGGATAGTGGCTTAGCGTTCATCACGCACCACACCGTGCAGTATCGTGTCATTGAAGCAGACATCGACCGCAGGGATACCACCCTAGAATGTCAGGGCATTGCTATCCGGTCAGGCGATGTTGAGCTCGAAATATTTAACGTGTACATACCCCCTGTCACCTGTTGCCCGGCAGGATATCACCCTGACATAGGTGCCCTCCTCAGAGGTGAAAACCGTATAGTAGTAGGCGACTTTAATGCGCACCACGATCTTTGGCACTCAAGCCTGTCAAACGATCGTAGGGGAACTGACTTGGCTGAGCAGATAGACGATTCGACATTCTGCACAATGAACGACGACGCACCCACCAGGATTATGGGCAGCTGCTGCAGTTCGCCAGACATAACAATAGTCAGCGCTGGTCTGACAAACAGCATATCATGGCAACCTATGCTGACTTTAGCATCAGACCATCTGCCCATAGTCATCTCGATCGATAAACCAACCGACTTTGCTTTCGCAGAGCACCGAACATATATCAACTTTTCAAAAGCTGATTGGAAAGGCTTCGCGGAATTTACTGAAAACACCTTCGCTGCCCTCCCCACACCAACCGACGTCCACCTTGGTGAACGTAAGTTCCGCAGGGCTGTCACCGCTGCTGCAGCTCGCTTCATATCGGCAGGATGTATTACGGACCCACGTCCCAATTTCCCTGCTGAAGCGGCTGATCTAGTCGATGAGCGTGATAGTCTTCGTTAGGCCGATCCCGGAGATCCCCGTATCAGGGATCTCAACGCGGAGATTCGGCAACTAGTAAACGTACATAAGCGGAAGAAGTGGGAAGAGCATCTGAAGACCTGTAACTTCACCTCTGGTGTGAGTAAGCTTTGGTCAACCGTGAGGTCGCTGTCCAATCCGACGAAGCACGAGGACAGAGTCGAAATTTCTTTCGGCGACCATGCTTCGTCGGACCCGGCGCGATGCGCGAGCTATATTAGCCGGCAGTTCATACTGCATCCTCCGGTGGACAAAGCCAAGCGTCGAGTGACCAGAAGGCTGCACAAACTGCCAACAACCTGTGCCCCCCTTGCTTTCACTTGCAGTGAAGTTCAGGTGGCCATCGGGAAGGCGAAAGCCTCCAAAGCCATGGGTCCCGACGGAATATGCATGCTGATGCTGAAAAATTTGGGTCCTGCGG